CTTTTTTTTTTCATCATGTCTAACGTATAATTACCTATGTCTAGGAATGCATGTGATCATACTTAGTTGTATGTTACTTTACAATGTGATATGATGAACATATTTTATATTTTAAAAGATGCATTTAAGAAGCAAACATATTAGAGAGTTATTCTTCCAAATATATTACTTTTTTAAATTAATTTTCCTTTCTATATTAACTGCTTTTAACTTCACACACAACATCAGTGGCCTAGAGCTTCTTCAACATATGTCTTTTTTTCACAAGTGTGTGTAGATGTTATTGGCTTTGATTAGTCCCAGTGCATAAAGTAGCCATCAGTCAAGAATCACTGTAGTCAATATCGAGTTGGAAGTATCATAGTCATTCCCATACCATTCGGCTTTAACAGATTTCATGTTCTAGTTAAACCATGTAAACTTTTGACTGCAGTATTGTTTACTTCAAATAAATAATGGGGATAGGGCAGACCCCCAGTTTGCATTTTATCACAATTCATTATTAAATTAAGAAATGAAAATAAACTGATAAGCTATCTCAACTGAGGCTGACTACAGTTATAAACACTGAATGCATTCAATATTGTGAATATTCTAAAGAGATCTATAGCTACATATGGTTTTGTATGAGAAAAAAAAACCTTAATGACGTTAAACTATTTAAGAACACATTAGTAAGCTACATCGGAAAAGTTACTGGTCAGAAGGAAATATTTAACCCCTTAAGGACCAAACTTCTGGAATAAAAGGGAATCATGACATGTCACACATGTTTTGTGTCCTTAAGGGGTTAAAAACAAATGATGCATAATATGTACCGATGGAGAAATTACATTTTATAAATTACATTTGTTATGAGGTGTGATACAATATTCCATTACACTAGTTCAAAGACATACATTCTACTTGTATACATTTAAAAGGTATGTTTTAGATATCCCTGGGCAACATTTTATTTCTGCCTTTCAAGCCTCTGAGATCTCTCTGGGCAAGCTAGGTGTATCTATGGACTCATTTCTTCTCTGAATCTTAAACTCTTAAAATCTTTGCTAGCAATCCAAGAATCTCGGAAAATTCAGCATAGCCTGAGTAAGCCTCTCAAAACTCCAAACTTTAAAAGTGAAGTACCCAGTAAATGTAATTGATACTTGGATAAGTAACCTAATTTCCATCAATAGGTAGAAAAATAAAATGTATTACAAACCTAGAGATTGATTAGAAGTATCCTACAAGACTGGCCCTTCTATAATTTCTCGTGGTTTAAGAATATTGCATCCCTGCATATCTTTTGCTAATTATTTTTGTTCACAGGGGAGCACCCCTTCATGTAAGCTGGAGCCCATAAATTCCTTGAACCATAACAGTTTTCTTCAAGGCCCCAACTTGACATTTTTTTTAGCAGGCTTCTCAGATTATTTAATATTTTGTATATTTTTTTAAAATTATTATATTAATATATAATCTATAAAAAAATCAGTATGTCAAAAAATTTGAAATTATCACAATATTTTCAAAATATTAAAATGTTTTAAAAGAGTATGCAAAAATATTATATTGCGACCTTAGCTGCTATGGTGCCTTGACTGACCCTTTAGTGCATCAAGTAGGAGTAGAAGAATCCCATTTCCCCAGCGTTTATTTTAGAAACATAGAAACATAGAATGTGACGGCAGATAAGAACCATTCGGCCCATCTAGTCTGCCCAATTTTCTAAATACTTTCATTAGTCCCTGGCCTTATCTTATAGTTAGGATAGCCTTATGCCTATCCCACGCATGCTTAAACTCCTTTACTGTGTTAACCTCTACCACTTCAGCTGGAAGGCTATTCCATGCATTCACTACCCTCTCAGTAAAGTAATACTTCCTGATATTATTTTTAAACCTTTGTCCCTCTAATTTAAGACTATGTCCTCTTGTTGTGGTAGTTTTTCTTCTTTTAAATATAGTCTCCTCCTTTACTGTGTTGATTCCCTTTATATATTTAAATGTTTCTATCATATCCCCCCTGTCTCGTCTTTCCTCCAAGCTACACATGTTAAGATCCTTTAACCTTTCCTGGTAAGTTTTA